TCATGAAGCATGGCTCTAGCCATGTCCTGAAGAACACGATTCTTCCTTTCAACCACCCCATTTTGTTGAGGAGTGATAGGGAAAGAGAACTCATGTAGTATCCCTTCATCCATGCAGAAGCTCTCAAGATTGAAATTTTCAAACTCTTTTCCATGATCACTTCGCATTTTGGACACTTTGTGATTGAGTTCATTACTAAGCCGTTTACACAAAGATTTTATAAGGTCACATGTATCAGATTTTTCCCTAAGCAATTCTACCCACGTGAACCTCGAGAAATCATCTACCATAACCAGAATATACCGCTTACCTCCTAGACTCTCAGTCCTAGATGGTCCCATTAAATCCATGTATCCTAGACTCTCAGTCCTAAATGGTCCCATTAAATCCATGTGTATCAATTCTAGGGGTCTTTTGGTCAAAATTTTAGAAGTATGGATTCCTTTAATTTGTTTACCCAGTTGACATGGTCCACACACAACATTTTCACTAGGACCTATTTTAGGCAAACCATCTACCAACTCCTTTTTAGCCAATTGTACTAGACTCTTATAGTTTAAATGACCCAATCTTTTATGCCAGAGTTCACTTACATCAATTTTTGCGCTCCTACACACATATTTAGAATTAGGTAGGACTCCATAACAGTTATTAGACGTTCTAACCCCTTCAAGGACCACCCCACCGAATGAATCATACACGGTACATCTCTTTTCCACAAAGCTAACCTCAAAATTAGCATCACAAATTTGACTAATACTTAACAAGTTCGACTTTAAACCTTCCACATAAAGCACATTTGAGATCACATGTAATCCATGTATTTGTACAGTACCTTTGCCAAGAATAGGTGCAAAGCCCCCATCTCCAAAGGTAACCACACCTCCATTGCATTCATCAAGAGTAGTGAATAAAGCCTTGTTACCACACATATGCCTAGAACAAGTACTATCAAGGTACCACATATTGAAATCTTGGGCTTTTAATGCAACATGAGCAACATAGCAATTTACCTGACCTGAAAGTCCAGCTAGATCCTCCTTTTAACCCAAATTTTCTTAGATGACGTGGTACTCCTAGTCAGCCTAGTAAGCATTTCAGTCAAATGACTAACCTGATTAGTCAGAAAACTGACCTGACTTGGAATATTCTGATTTCTACGCTCATTGCCTAACTTATAACATCTAGGCCTAGTGTGTCCTAGAGCTCCACAGTGGTGATAGGTGGGAATGAACTTAGGCTCAAAGGTACGTGTCTATGGGTGTTCGGGCATAAAATTTCTACGTGATTGATGACTTTGTTCCCTCGAAACATTCTTACCCTTATTTGGACTGTTGACAGCGTTAGACTTGCTAGAGGCAGAAATGAATACAGTTTGAGATGGACCAGCACCATGTGTATTACCCTCAACATATCCTAGACCTTTCCTATCTTAGGCTTATTCATTCCCAAAATATCATCCAATTTCTTAGTTCCACTTATGAAAGTTTGAATATGAGCATTAGATTTCTCCAATTCACTAGTTAATGTCTTAACTTTGTCTTCCAACTTCTCATTGACACATTTTAACTCATTGACACTCTTAAGTGAATTCTGGAGATTACTAGCATGTCTCTTTTTTTCTCTTTCAAGTTCATCAACCTTTTTGAGTAGGGCTTTATTGATCTTTTTTATTTTAAGACTCTCCTTGAACAAGAGTTGATAGGCCTCATGTATGTCTATGTCATCCTCATCCTCATCCTCATTACTAGAATTATTGTTGTGAAGTTCTTCCTCAACCTTGTCACTCTCCTTATCAGATTCACTCTTAATAGTCGACACAAATGCCATATAGTTTCCTTCATCTTCACTACTAGATGACTCCTGCCTATCACTGGTCTCAGACTCGTTATCAGTAAGTGAAACAACTAAGGTCTTACCTTGCCCTTTTCTTTGATTCTTCTTATAACTAGGGCACTCATTTTTATAGTGACCTATACCTTGACATTCATGGCACCTAACCCAACGTGGTTTATCACTAGAACTTTTATTGTTAAACCTTTCAGTTTTTTCTTTTGAGAATCTGCTAGGGACTCCACTTTTTCTATCCTGAGGCTTTCTCCTATTCTTGAGAGCCTTTTGAAATTTCTTCACAAAGTAAGCAATTTCATCCTCCCTCAGAGACTCAGTATCGGAAGATTCATCCTCTTTGATGGATTTTAAAGCAATGGACTTTTCTTTCTTAGGTTGTGTGATAGTGAGTTCA